CAGTTTACTTGTACAAGATATTTTTTTTTCAATAAAATAAATACACCAATGCATGTAGCATGCTTTAGGGAGCTATTCGTGTGATTTTCAAAATAAAATGTGTAAAGTTCCAAAAAAACTATTCTGCTACCTTAATACAGACAGCCCACGTAAAATAAACTGCTGTACGATACATACACGGCGAGTGTTGTTGATTTCAGTGACACAGCAGCCCTGTAACAATTTCTAACAAACTGAAACATTGTTTGTTTTGTTTTTTCATATCAGAGCCAGACGTGGACGCAATGTCTGTGTGTTTTTTTAAACATGCGTCACTGAAATCGACAACATAATGTAGCAGTTACATGTATGCCACTTATTGAAATCAAAAACATTTAAATGAAGGGTATCTGAAAATGAAATAACACTACCATATTTATCCGGGTAAAAGCCCAGGGTGCTGACACATGACATAATTTACAAATTTACACAGTAATAATTAAGAAATTTCATAGTATGAAAAAACAGATCTTTATTTGTACGTTCAATGTTCATAGCCATCTTCGTCAAAGTCAAAACCCTCAAAGTCCAAGTCCGCGTCACTGTCGCTGTCGAACAAGTTTCCTACAGCTTCGTCCTGAAGTTTGTTGATGTCGACGCATACATTTTGGACTTTGGATTTCGCTGTCTGTCAGCTTGGCTCTTTTAATTCATGTCTAATAACAATAAAGAGACAAAAAAAATGTCATCAATTAATTATACCTGAAATTATCTGCTATTATAGTTCTGGTAGTTGCCCAATTCATTTGAGTTCACACACTATGAGACTAACCTGATCTGACCTGATCAGTGCAAGTTGCTGCACCCTTACTGATGCATTTACTTGTACATAAAGTACTTTTTTTTCTGTTTCCTCTAGTAAAGGGCATCATGGCTAATCCCAATTTATACCAACCATACCAGGCGTCTGATGTAGTTTACTTTGAATAAAGGACTTTCAGTTCTAAGCACTAAACTGAACCACCTGTATACATCTGTATTAATTCTAAACCTCACATCCTTCATCAGTAATAAGTCATTATCCTTGTCCCATTTATACATTGTCTTTGGGGTACATACAGAGACCTAATTTGTTTGTTTTGTTACAGGTACTGTGGACAATTTGTCACTGAATCTACAAATGCTGTTGAAGTATTTAAACAATAACAGTCTAGCAATGGAATATTTCACATATTCACGTCTTCTTTATAAACTTAACAAAGCATGGAGGCACAAAAAATCATTCCAGTATCTTAGAAAGGTGAATATCCCTGCACCACTGCTTTGCAAATGTTCTTTTATCTTGTATCAACAAATGATTATGTAACTGGGTCCATTATCCCAATAATGTATATAATAAGGTACATTAATAATGCCTTAATGCCATAAGTTACAGCATGCTGTAATTTTGCGGCATTTTACAGGGTATTTTCATCCTACCATATTAGGAAATGCAAATTCCAAATATGGAACGATTACGCACATAAGCGCCTCTAATCATAAAATCAAACATGGCTGCCACCAGGGTTTGACCGAACTCCACACAAAGAAGATTGCTGATTCTGTTCTAAACATTTTGGATTTTGGCATTCCTATGATGTATCTTTAGAAGGAAAAGATGTATAATAATAAGGTTATTACAAGGATACCTCAAAATATGCGCTCAAACAGTACTGCTGGAGTATCGACCGATGGGCAGCTGAGGTCGATGTGTGGCGTACTGTCTGAGTGATCATTTTTAGTATTTTTATGTTAATGATTTGTAGAGGTTGTTGTGGCCATTATGTATTAATAGATTTGTATTTTTTCTTTTAAGTTTGCTCATTCCCTGAAAAAGATGCAAGATTCTGATTTATCAGATGTTGTCGAAGAATACCTGAAATGTATTGGAGAGTATGTGTATTTCTATTTACTTGCATGTTGTTTGGTTTTATCAATTCCATCAAGCAATACACTTGGGTAATCTGGTGGCATCTAGCACCATTACAAAAGTATGTATTCCGACGCATGATATAAATTAGTCCCAATAGTACTGTACTACACTTCAATGCCACACAGTGAATTTTGCAAGCAATGCAGTTTTTACTCGTATACTTCAGACACATCGTCATAAAAAGAAAGGTTCCTCTTTGCTGCATCTGATTGTTATCTCAAGAAAATTGTTATAAAACATTCATATACTGTAGTATTCAGTACTTTCAAATGCACCAATCAGCACGTCTCCCTTCCATTACAGGAAACCAATCAATTGGCTTGAAGTCATTCAGACTCTACTGCATTAATGTTCCTTCTCAGTGAGACTTTTTCCTAAGATGTTTATCTTTTTTTACAGGAAAGACTTTTCTTCCACAAAAATGCTACTTCCAAGTAAACAAATGACAGAATATATGTTAGTAAGACTGCTTGGATTTTCTCAACTCTGTGCCTACAATATGAAGTCATCCATTGTTACCATCAAGTATCCTTTCTTTTTTATTTGTCCCACCAACTTGAGTATTTTAAAACTGTCCTGACTGGTCGACTCCATTTTCCAGTGCATTTTCCTGAATGGTCGGCTGCACACCAACATGAATATGTTAAAACTGTTCTAACTTGTCTTTCAGATTTGCATATTAAAGAAATAAATGATCAGTTGGTGCAAGGATTAAACTTGAATTAATTTTGCTATTTGCATCTTATATTATTCTCAATTACAATGGGTAACTAGTTTGCTAAAAAGATGATCATATTTGTATAAAAAATGTGGTTATTTTTCAGTCATTGCCCATAGGTTTCTGTTGTAAAATGGTCTCATAATGTCTCAAAATTTCATTTGGTTACATGTATATTAGATGCGCATACATTGAACCATGAATTCTCCTTGCATATGGTACATGTATTATTCCTTAATATTATTTAAGTCATCTTTTGCAGGAACTTTCAACAGGAGATTTCATCTCATACAATCTCATGTTTGTATCATTGGTTTCCAGAATATGGTGAGTATTCATTGTGTGCCTGGATAAATAAATTATTTTTTCCTGAAAATGAAATTTACCTGTTATATTCATCCTTCTTTCAATAGTCCATATCATTAGTGTTTAGAAAATAAACTAATTAGAAGTAAATTCCTTTCAATGTTTTTTTGCCCCCCAAATATGCTCAGTGACCTGCTCAGTAGATCAAAATTTGAATTTCTGTCCCACAATGCATTGTACTCATGTTCTGTAACATACTCAGCAGATCAAAATTCAAGTTCGGCTTCCATTTTATTAAACGCATGTTGGATAATGTAATTAATAACTGAATCTGTATATTTTGATCAAAATCTGAAAATATTACATTAAAATATGAAATGTCTTGCCCCAATTTCACATAGGTTGTACATGAAGTTTTTGCAATGTTATGCCCGGACTGATGTTGGGTCAAATGACTTTCTTTTATTGATTCAGGATCCTATTGAGGGCGCTATTGCTGGATATCATTGCATCATATTCAAATTTGCGACCCTGGATAGAAAAGGCGACTAGCAGTAAAATTGTATGGGTGAGTCTTGTAAAATATGTAAATGTTCAATTTTTAATTATTTTTCAACCAGATTTGCCCCTGATGTACTAAATAACATTAGAATGTATACATTTCCTACTTTTCAATCTTTTTCAGTAAATTGTTAAACATGGTGAAGCTAATTAATATACAAATTATCTACTTAATATGCATAGATACAGTTTCCAAACCATTAGCACAAACAGCATATGAATCAATTTTGGATCCAATTGAGCAATTTTTCAGAATACGAACGATTATGTTGAAAATAGTTAATGACTATGCAAATTAGTATATGTACTGAGACTATCAAGCTACTAATAAGTCATTTTAGCAAACAAGTTGAAAAGTGCTTATGAGTAAGCAAATGACCTCATTAATATGTGCAGATAATTACAAGCCGGTATCAGACATTAAACTATAAGGTCTATGATAAAACACTATGCATGTATGTATCAAGTAAAATAGTTAGTATGCAAAGCTGAGGCCTGGCATTTGCTGCTCTGTACAGGAAATCTGAGATCAATGAACGTATTCTGGTGATAAAAACAACTTGTATGTGCTGTGGAATGCCCTATATATCAGATATAATGACAAACTTTTTTGTGTTGCGTCATTTCACCTCTAGAGGGCAAGTCAATGTCATCATGAGTGAACACTGATAATTGAACCCATTCATTCTACTACGTCAATCCCATAGAAGTATTACTATAAGTCCTTGTTACTGATATTTTAAAAGTTAAAACATAGTGAGGTATTGTGCGGATATCATAACGCTTTACGTAATACATGTACATTGATATTAAGTTTTTCAAAATCCCAAATGAAAAATCAAGTTGTTGGTTGTGAAAAATTGGCACATACCACATACAAGCTATTGGTAAACAGTGAGTAAATAAACATTGCAAGATACGAGTTAAAACTAAATTAGAAATACAGCAACATCACTTGAACTACTGTACTCATTTCCTGAGAAGACCGAGAGCAGAGAAACAGGGATAATATTGATATGGTTTTATTCCCAAATTAACGATGCTAAAACCATGTCAGTCTGAGTGGCTGGGCTTGATCTATACACACTGTAAAGGTGTTCTCACAAACCACAGTCCCGCTGTGATAGAGGGACTGTGCACAAACAAATATTTTCGTGTAAAAATGTGCCACATACTTGTCACAACACAAAAACACGAAGTGAATTGACATTGGTGATTGGATGGTGCAACAACCTTTCAATTTGCGCTTTGTTACAACATCATTGATTGGCTGGAAGTCACCCAATTGACCTGGGTCACAGAACCATATTTGTCCATATTATCTACAAGACTTTGCGAGAGAAACACACCCACATTTTCAACCATTCTATAGCACTTTATTTTAATTATTTTAAAATAGTTTTCAGCCCAATGAATTATGGGCAATATTTGTTCTGTCTCGGCTGATTGTGTTGAACACCATTCTAAACTCAGTATGGAGAAACCAGCGGTGATCAACATTCCAAACAAATTATTACCGGGACATGGTCGATAGGCATTTCAAACAATATGAGATATTTACAAACATACGCAAAATTAACAAAGACACGAAGAGGTGTAATCTTATGTTTTATTTTAGGCTTAGAAAAAAATTTCTTTTACACTATTCTATTTTTAACTCCATGATGGTCCATGTTTTCTCCCTGAGGGATAATAACAATAATTATACAAATTGTGAACACATCTTGAAGAGTCAACAATCAGGAAAGGAAATTACAGAAATTATACTGATGTACTTTGCAAATCATTTTTACATTTTTTGTGGCAGTACATAATGTCAGAATATTGTTTAAAATAAAATATTCCATCCCAATCAAATCGAAGTCAAAGGGTCAGATTGTGTGCACATAATTATAGATAGTTTGAAACAAAAAGTATTTGAACATTAAACGGCTATTCAACGTCTATGAAAATCAGAATGACAACGATAAATCAATGTGTACCTCAAAACATTTTTGTAGTCTGAATTTTAAATGCAATTGATCAAGCTAGCGAGTGGTCGGGCAATATTTTTGAGTTTGCGTGGTCAAAATTGAAGTGGAGATTATCTGCCCAAATTAAAAAAACAACAAAAACATTGAAAAGCGGAAGCGAGCGAGAGTTTGGGCAAAATGAGTACTGTATCACACTCTCTACTACTAGAGTTGTTCATAGTTTTGCCACCCCATATACAAATGTTTTCAAAGCGCCCTGGTCAGATACATGTACACATTAGCGATATGGCTAAGACGCCATGTTCATTAGTGACGTCATTAACCAATGACCCCTGCGAGGCGAAATGACTCCATACAAAGAGGATGTTTGTCATCTACTTCACAGTCCTTTTTATACCCGATATATAGGGCATTCTGTAGCACATACAAGTTGTTTTTATCGCCAGAATTCATTCATAGATCTCAAGTAGTAACAAAAGCCAGACCTCTGCTTCTCTTTAATACCCCTGGTATGTGCAGAAACTCCTGTCATACATTACAACTATACAAAAGGTGTGTTTGAATCAATTTTTGATTCATTTAAGGAAGCTGAAACAAGGTGTATGCACTCAGACAGTACATGCTTGCATCGTCTTCCACTACACAATATAATATAAAAAATTCACATAGTTTTTAAATTCATCACATAATGTTTTAACACATACTGTCTTCATTCATGTATACTTTGCGGTATCCTCATAATTATCTCATATTTCAGTGAAAATAAAATTAATTACATTTTCCCGTCTGACACATTGTTGGTCTTCTAACATCCATTATATTCAAGGAAAAGAATTTAGAACCAAGAATAAAGCATTATCTGAGTGATATAAACTACAGATGCATCGGTTTTGCAAATCAAGGATCTGTGCTGTGCTACACACATGACAGATACTGTCAGCATTTCAACACTGTTCTCACAAACCTTTAACATAAAGATATATCTGAGTGATATAAAAGCAAACTACAGATGCATCGGTTTTGCAAATCAAGGATCTGTGCTGTGCTACACACATGACAGTGTGATATTTTGTTGTGACATTGATCATAAATTACTGTAATTGTTTTCAGTTAAAAGATACCGAACAGTTGCCTGATGATCTCTCGGAATGGTTAGGACCTGATAATAATCCAATACAGCACACTTGGTAAGGGCTCCCCAATTGAAAACCAGTGGGGGGGGGGGGCTGCAAGATTTTGTGAGAAAAATATGTGGGTGTGTTGTGTGGGTGAAAATAAATTTGCACAAATTTGCATGACAATTGCATGATATGTAAAATATTTGGAAAATGTATGGATATGTGATAATAACAAAAACATTGTCAGATTACTATAAATGTGAATAAAATATTTGTCTATTATTTATCTGTAGTTTCTTTATTACAAGCTATAATTGTAAGAATTTCTGAGTTTTGACATTAAAGTCAATTATATATATTTACACCAAATATTTTACTTTCAGCATTCAAGATTTAGTTAAAGTGGGTGCCAGTCCAAAGTCATCAAGTTGTTTAGAAAAGATATTTTCCTTATCTGATGACAAAGATAACAATGCAATAACAAATCAATTACAACAAAAACCTGTAGAAATTGATGTAGTCTCGGATATTGGAGGTAGGTGACAAATTAGATCCTCCCAATGCATCTAGTTTCTATAGCTTGTTGCTACCAATGTTGTCATGGTTTTATTATCAAACCAACTCTATTAACAAGTGATATAGGGGGATTGTCAAAAAGAAAGAAAACTATCAAATATTAATTTATACTAATTATATCTTATATTAATTGTATGAAAAAAATTAGAAAATTTCACCCCTTCCAAAAATTTACCGCATAATTATTTTGCATTTTTTCATGATTTCTTGGTTTCTAAAATTTTGATGGATTACAGAATTTTGCTTTTTTTGTTATCTCAATTTTTGCTTTTCTGATTAGAAAAAGGGGGAATTTGTATGTCACCTAATATTTTTGTAATCACCGATTTTTATTTTGAAAATCTGGCAAGTCAAGAATTCATCAATAGTTTGGTCAAAATTTTAGAGTCTTTATGGTACTGTTTATTTATTTTCCAGAACCTCTGAGTGCTACAGAATTTGCAATTGCTTGTAAACAAAAACAACATATGACATCAACGCCAATACCTGAACCCCGGAAGATTAGAAAAGGAAATACCAATGATAGTGTTTGCGATAAACCAGCATTCCAGATGTCAACAGAGCAAAAATGTTCTTATCTCGGAACCTCTAATTTTGCAAAAGTGGTACGTATAGGGAAACAATGTGAGACATTTGCTGAAATTCAGATATCTGTAATACCTGAATTACAAAAACTGTGTCAAAAGATGCAGTTGTCTCCAGAACTACAAAGTGCCAAAGACAAACTCTTCAGTGTTTGGGAAACATTTCGTAGAAAGTCAAATAAAGAGAAGTCTCTTGTTTCAAAATTTATAAAGAAAGTCTTAATATTCATGAAAAAAATTAAGAAACACGGACATATGCAAGCAGAAGTTTGTACAATTGAAGACAAATATCCAAATAGGGAAGGTGTTAATGCTCAAGAAGCCCTTTATTTGAACAAAGATTCTCAATCTGTGTCTGTGAATTTCAAGAAAACAAAGAGAAAGAAAGGAAGGGGTAAACGTAAAATAGATACCCATCCATACATCAAGATAACTACAGAGGTAAAAAATACAGAGAAACTTGAGGGAAAAAAACAACGAATGAAGAAAAAACTAAAGCAATCTCATGGATATTTGTCCGAAGATAGCATTCATGTGACCAAGAAAACAAAGAAAAAGAGTAAATGTGAAAGAGATAACTGTCTGTATGTGAATGAACCCAGTGTATATGCAGAGAAACTTGACAAGAAAAAGCAAAGAAAGAAAAAAAGACTTGAAAATGCAACCAATCTCTGTCACAAGTATTTGCCTGAAAAAGGCAAACATGTGACAAAGAAATTAAAGAGAACAAAGAAAGTTAAGCAGTCATTGACATCTGATTCAGAAACATGTGAAACATTGCCACATGAGACGCTGAAAAGTGCTACAAATGTTGATATTGATGATTTATTTTCAAGGCTGATGTAAAATGTTAATAAAAATCAGGTTTTGTTTATTCTGGAATTGTATATTATTTAAATCCCATTATAAACTGTTCTGTGTTGTCCATTTCCTTATAAGCAGACATGAACTGAATGTCTTCCTGACGTTAATTAATTGCTAACTATGCAAGGTGCTGGTCAGTCTGAATGATATACCAACTTACTGTGGAATACTTTATTTTTGCTGGAATTAATTTTCGCTGAAAAGGATTTTTGGGAGTTTTGCTTGGAATTTATTTTCACTGATTTTTGATGAGATTAATGTAAAATATAGGAAAAAATGTATATTCGCTGGTTTTTATTTTCACGGAATCATCCCTTCAGCGAAAATAGCGAAAATAAAGTATTCTACAGTACTATGCTATCACATACAAAGGCAAGGCAAAGTTGCCAGCTTTGTTTATATAAGACCCATGTATCTCTCGCATGCAGGGCGCGACAACTACCACCCTTTAATGGGTAGTAAGTAAGCAAATATGGACAGTTTTTTTGTGTGGAAAATCATTACTGGTATCCAAGTAAATTTGAGATATTTCTCGTGCTGTACCCACGCCCACCTATTCTGAAACGATTGACAGTTTCCGGATTTCCTACTGTCACCGAAGTCACAGTGTGCTCCCAAATTGCAGATTATGTGAGAAAGCATAAACTTGAGCTATACTTTTATAACACTGAATCATTTAACTGACTTTAAATGATATACATTTCTCATCGTCGTTTATTTTTTAACCATTTTTATTTTTTGCGAGAGGGGGGGTGAACAATTTTAGAAGTTGTTTTCACAACAAACGTTTATGAGAAAACGTTAGAATTAACCTCCCTATATCTTCATATGTAGTGTCCATTTTACCTCCAATTCTTTTGACGAACAACTGTTCTCATTTGTGAATAAACAACTTGGTTCTCAAGAGAAGTGATGAAATAACATTATGCTCACACTGTTTTTTTAATTAGGGATGTAACCGTGATGCATGGTTCAGTGGATTTTGGTAACGAGTACTAACCACTATTTGACTGTTTAATGTTAGCTGTACATTTCAGGTCAGACAACCAATATTTATTCGTTGTCTGAGATTTTAGCATGTAGATGTATGTACTGTGAAATGTGGTTGACGCACTCAATTGTAACCTGCTTATCTACAAAGCTTACAGCCAACATTCAAATACATTCCACAATGATGCAAAGTAGGCAGGTTTGTTGACTTCACTTTATTTAACAGATAGGAACTTTGCATCACTGGTCACCTCGTACTGAGGGTACGTGGTTCATCCGACTTCGTAAGCATTGTGCATATTGTATCTTTGGGTTATTATAGTCTGCAGGTCGAGGGTTACCCTGCAACAAGTGACAAGATTTTACAGATAACTACGCAGTTTTCAATTTGCTGAGCGATTGTATATATGTGCCACAGTAGTGTTCATGGTAATACTACTTTCTGACTCATTGCTATTCTTCTAACAGTTTGTTTACCTTTGGTAGCAGACAGTTTTCATTCAGTATTTGGTATGAAAGTATTCTTTTTTAGTTCTAGGCAGTATCCTTGTACTAGTTTGTTTGTTCTCATCAATACCCATTTATTAGGAGAGAACTGATTTTCAGAACATGATTGAAGAAGTGAAGACACAACATTTCCCTGGATTCGAATCAACGATTTTAAGCTCAATTCACTATGTTCAATTACCCAGCATAGACTCCGGCCAGTCAAAATGACTAATTTGACCACGTTGTTAGATCTCTTTGTGTAATTCCTCTCATGCATGTCTTGTTCATTTTTACCAATGTGTTTTTAGAAATGGATAGGAAGAAAGGGAAACACACCAAAGGCTCCTCACCTCTTGTTTTGTCACCCCAAAGATCGAGGTGGTTGTGCGGTGGTTGCCATCAGGAGCTACCAAGTTGGAATGCTACTTGCATTTGGACTGTGTTCGAGGCTCAGAGTTTTGCATAGAGTATATTTGCATCAACTGGTTTCAAGGGCCTGCGAACATTCCAAGGCCGCATGTAAATTACCGAGACTGACTCAAGTTCACAGCATTTGCGCATGCAGTACTGGGAGCAATGTATGCGTGAGTGAGTGGAGTGCTAGCAAGAGCAGAAAGTCTTCCCACTTTTCTACCAGTACCTAGACAACTGCGGCGATGAGTGAGAGGCCTGACAGTGGAGGTCCTGAGATTCTAGCCCCCCTGCTGTCGCAGTCTGCTTTTGCAGTACCTGATTGTGCCGGCAACGGCGAGGCTGTGCCTCTGGAGGTTTTTACTCCTATGGGGCCTGTTGCGGATCCCTCTGTGGATCCGTTCTCGCATGGCGCTGGGTTTTCCTCAGAGATTTGGTCTTTGGCTGAGGATCTGTCGGGACAAATTGTGTCCCTTGCAGGTCGGTAGATCAAATGCAGGTAGAGCAGGGTGTCTTCACTGCGGCGGCCCCTCCGGCGGCTAGCCAGAAGAAGCACACTAAGAAGCGACATTCTCATTTGAGGCATGCCTCTTCCCGGAATCCCCCCGATCCCAGCCCCGAACTCCCCATTAATTGGGATGCAGGCGAGGCACAGGCTAGTGGCACCGGGTCTCCTCGAGTCTGCCTTCGCTACAGGTATAGACTCCCTCTTTGTTGAATCTCAGGTGTTCCTAGGGGGGACCAAACCGACCGTCAGCCACTCTGTCAGACATGCTCTCGCTCACTTTATTAAGATAAGGGGAGGCAGTGCAGCCATGTCTGACATGGTGGGTACAACCTTGGGCGGCCCCTTGGAGTCATCCCTTCATAATGACGCTGTGAGCCACACCAAGCAAAGCCTGAGATAAAGCTGCATGACCCAGACTGGATCCCAAG